GTATAAATTTGAGTTCAAAAAAGTTTAATTGTGCAAAATAAATTTCAGAGATCAAATTATTATTATTTTTAAATAATTATTGCAATCCTGATTCGCAAGAGGATATACATTAAAATTGATACAGTAAAATGACCATATGACTTAGTTTTTATTTTGTTAGTTAATAATTAATAAGCCCGAGTTGTTGTGAAGTTGAGAGTTCAAACCTAATATGGGCTCCTTCTTTCTCATTTTAAAAATCCCAAGTGAAATGTATCTTTAGACAAATACAAGAATCAATCAACAACTAGAACTAAACCCACAAGCAAACCCAATGGATACAAAATAGACCCAACTCACATAAAATGGTTTGAAAACGTCGGTCCGGGTTTAGCCCATTTTAACAGTACTCGACCCAATCAATCTTTCTCGGATCCTAGAGGAACCCGCTCGAGTTCGAGAGATCTCTTTTCTTGTTTTCCCTTCTCAGCTCAGTCTCGCTCCGCTTGCTATCTTTTCTCAGCAACCAAACACAGACCGTCACAGAGAGAAAGAAAATATGTCAGTGCTAATAGTTACAAGTTTAGGTGACATAGTGGTGGATTTATACGCTGACAAGTGCCCGTTAACCTGCAAAAACTTCTTGAAACTTTGCAAGTAAGTCCCTTTTAATTCCATCATCTCAAACTGCTCTATTATAGCTATTTTTTTTTTGCTATTTCTTCATGTAGATCATTTCAATTTCCGGGTTTCAAGAACTTAATTCTGGGTCTCGACAAAAACTGTGAAATTTATCAACTTTGAGCAAAATTTTTGTATCTTTGAAGTGTTTTGGCTATAAAATTTGATATTTTTGGTTTTGTATTTGCTGATTCAGGGTTAAGTATTATAATGGTTGCCTATTTCACACAGTCCAGAAGGATTTTACTGCACAGACTGGTGACCCTACCGGTACTGGGGCTGGTGGCGATTCGGTCTATAAGTAAGAGTCTTAAATGCATTGATTATATACTTGAATGTTGATGACCTGTCTAGGTTTCACTAGTATTTTGGAGCATTTTTTTATGGAGTTTACTAAATCTTTTATGGTTGTTCATGGTTTTGGAAATCTAGTTTTTTGGTAATTAATAAGTAAATCCGGTTTCTCATGTAACGTTACATGTGGTGGTTATATCAGATTTCTATATGGCGATCAGGCTCGATTTTTTGGCGATGAAATCCATCTTGATTTGAAACATTCAAAGACGGGAACTGTTGCAATGGCTAGTGCTGGAGAAAATATGAATGCTTCTCAGGTATATAAGTAAGAGTCTTAAACAAGATAAGACTTGTTTTCCTTGCTTGATGGTTAACGGGAAGCAATCTTTTTCACACGTGTTAATTTGCATATGTGTTTTGGATGTATGATTGTAAAACCGTTCTTGTTTTCAGTTCTATTTCACTCTGCGTGATGATCTGGACTATCTTGATGGGAAGCACACTGTAAGTTCCAAATCTAACCCCCCCCCAATAAACCACCACCAGTGGGATAGGATATGAATCACAGCACACCATTAAGTGTGGAAAGGATTAAATGAAGTGGTTTATGAGCTTTTAGCTGTTATGGAAATAAGAAATTACATCGGTTGGTTATTTGGTCGTGATGTTTCCTTGTGTGTACCCCTTAAGAGGAACTTCTCTCTGGCTTCCACTTCTCTATGATAGTCACAAAACTGTTTCTCTCTTGTAGGTATTTGGAGAGATAGCAGAAGGGCTTGAAACTTTAACGAGGATAAATGAGGCTTATGTGGATGAAAAGAATAGACCTTTTAAAAATATCAGGTTGGTTCTTCTTCAAAATGCAATTGTTGTTTAATGTTTGATTATAATTCTGGATAGTAACATGTGCCCATTGTCTTTGATCAGAATCAAACACACTTATATACTTGATGATCCTTTTGATGATCCTTCCCAACTGGCAGAATTGATCCCTGAAGCTTCTCCAGAAGGAAAACCAAAGGATGAGGTGCTAGTTGATGCTCTTCAAAGATAAATGATTTTGAACTTTATACAAACTAGTTCTCGAGGTTGTATGTGGCTCAGAAGGATGGGCAGACCTGGTTTATCTAATGTTTATGCATGGTATCCAACAATTAAAAAGAAATTTGTCTGTGAACTATTCACAATCAGAGTGAATAGCAGTGGAAGTCAATGGTAAATCCTTGAATTGGAAATGATGTTGATCTCATCGAACAACATCAATGCTTAATGTGAAGGAATATTGATCGGTAATCTGAATACTAAACAAAAAAACTTCTGAAGGCATATATAATTTAAAGCAAAATAAAAAGAAGAAATGAAATGATAGATCTGAAAAGACGTGAAGGCAAGGAAAGAGTAACATCAACTCAGATAGATAAATAGTTTCAACCTGATGATTTTATATTAGAGGTATGAGACAATTTTGATCAAATCATGTTTAAATCTGTATTCTTTCTTTCATTTTCTTTTCAAAACTTTTGGTCTCAATGATAATTTTGCTCATCTCACCAGTTTCCTACCTTAACAATGCATATTATTGTAACTAGGTTGAGGGTGAGGTGCGGCTCGAAGATGATTGGGTGCCCATGGATGAGCAATTAGGCACAGCAGAGCTAGAAGAGGTTCTTCGGGCAAAGGAAGCACATTCTAGTGCAGTTGTGCTTGAGAGTGTAAGGATCTATACAAACAATAATCCAATTATTCAAATTCCATCTTCATATTAATTCATTCTTTTTTTATCTTGTGTGGCAGATTGGGGATATTCCTGAGGCTGAGACGAAGCCTCCTGATAATGTCCTATTTGTTTGTAAACTAAATCCAGTTACTGAGGTGAGTCTTCTGTTTTCCATTTCCGTGGTACGATAATCTATGAGCTTCGTTCTCGTGCCTTTTTTCTTATTTCTTACTGCAATTGTCATCTTAAAGCCTTGTTGAGTTGTTTCAACTTCTTGGTGTAGGATGAGGACTTGCATACAATCTTTTCACGCTTTGGAACTGTTATATCGTGAGTAATTGGAACCCTTAAGAAAAAAACTCAATCATGTTTTTAGGCCCTCATTTGTGAGAAAAATAGAATGCTCATCGTGTGGACTATGGCAGGGCTGATATAATTCGTGATTATAA